AGAGGAAAAAAGTTATTTAATATATTAATGAAAGGTAAAATAGTATTTTTAATAGTTAAAAAATATCAAAATGACACTTTTTGTGAAATGGAGGGAGTATATAATTATTACAAAATAATCTTGGTATGTTTATCTTAAGAGTCAGAGGCGTCATTACAAGGTTGATTCCCTTGTTATATAATAATGAAACTTTGATTCAATTCAAATTAAAACTTCTCTCTTTCTCTCATCATTTACCTGAATACTCCCAATTGAATCCTTTTTTCCTTTTTTTTTTCAACCCAAAGCGGGTTTTTAAATTCCAAAGAAGATTCAATTTCCGCAGCTTTTAATCAGCTTAATTTCGGATCTCCCTCCGTAGTTGCTTTTTTCTCCGTTTGGATCCTCTCTAGTTTTTTTTTTTCGGCGCCGTATCCTCGGAGGAAAATGGCTCAGTCGGCGGCGGCGGCGGCGGGGAGAAGCGGGCGGGTTATCGGCGATTACGCGGTGGGTCGACAAATCGGGTCGGGTTCTTTTTCGGTGGTTTGGGAAGGGAGGCATCTTGTCCATGGCACCGTGGTTGCCATCAAGGAGATCGCCATGTCTCGGCTTAACAAAAAGTTGCAAGATAGTCTCATGTCGGAGATTTTCATCTTGAAGAAGATCAATCATCCCAACATCATCCGCTTTATCGACATGATCGAGGTTTCATTTTCTCTTGTTGCTGGGTTTTCCTTTCTCTTTCTTCTTCTTCTGGTTTGCTCTTAGTCTCTACCTAGAAACAATTCAAATGCTATGAGTCTTCGATGTGAAATGAAGTTAGCTACTTAGCTCCTATGTTTTGAGTTTCTGATTCTCTCGAGTTCTCTTTGGTTGCCTTAGTAAAATAGAATCAGAATAGTCAGGATATGGAATGATTTAGCTCGCACAAGCAAATATCTAAGCTTCTTTAGTTCTTGATTGTCTTCCATTTGGTGGAATACTAAAATGTGATAGCTTTGTTGGAAATTACAACGAAAAAACAATGGGTCATATGCATGGAGCCTTTTAGAACACTACGGACGATGTAGGCTGAAGATAGTTTTTATTGAAATTGGGTAGATGATGCTTACTTGCTTAGAGTGTGTATGGTTCTAATTGTGAGAGGACGGTTTTCTGTTTTTTTTTCCTCTGAAAATAGGCTCCGGGGAAAATATATCTGGTGTTAGAGTATTGCAAAGGGGGTGATCTATCTATGTTTATTCAAAGTCATGGAAGAATCCCTGATGCTACTGCTAAACATTTCATGCAGCAGTTAGGTATATTCTCCAAAAGAACCTTATTCTCTGTTTGCTTTGATCGGTAGAACAATGTTCTCCATTTTAACTGATTTTTATGTAACAGCGGCTGGTTTACAAGTTCTACGTGACAATAATATCATTCACCGAGATTTAAAGCCTCAGGTATGTCTGATTCTTGCATTTAGGAATGATCGTCTTTTGTCAAGTAGATCATGGCAATACGTCCTTAAAGATTAATCCTTCGGAAGGTTGAAGGATGCCTTAGAAGGGGATCTGTTTGGTTCCACTAAAACACGTTGTAATTCTTTCTCACAGGATATGCTTTTCAAGAGTTTCTTGCCCTAGCAGAGATAGAGATTTTTTGTAAACTGAAATTCAATTGCTAAGGTTCTTTCATTCTTGAAACAGAATCTTCTTCTATCCACAGATGATAATGATGCAGCTCTGAAGATTGCTGATTTTGGATTTGCAAGGTATTCTCATCAGCTCCTTTGTTATAGACATAATTGAGTGTAATGTGATGATCAGAGTTGGTCTTATATGGTTTCATTCTGCTTTTCATGTATATTTGCTTTCAAGGCTTAGGCAATTGCATTTCTTTTGACTGTGGTAGTATGCTTATTACAACAATTTTGAGTTTGTATTTTATGCTTATTACAACAGTTTTGAGTTTGTATTTTGCACTTAAACATCAAATTGTTTTAGCTCAGATCGTTGCAGCCTAGGGGTTTGGCAGAAACTTTATGTGGTTCCCCACTGTATATGGCCCCGGAGATTATGCAGCTTCAAAAGTATGATGCAAAGGTGCGGCTTTTTTTTCTCTAGAAGCCACCTACACCTGTCTTATACTATATCCTGCTTAAAATCTCCCTTGATACACAGGCAGATCTCTGGAGTGTTGGTGCTATATTATTTCAACTTGTGACAGGCAGAACCCCTTTTACAGGAAACAGCCAAATTCAGGTTTTGTATATAAACAAGTGTTGTGAATTTTTAAAAGATTTGAATGTTTGTGTTCGGTGAATGCATCATTGGCTAACATGTTCTCCGTCTGATTTCCGCAGTTGTTCCAGAACATTATGAGATCAACTGAACTGCATTTTCCAGTAGACTGTAGAGATTTGAGTACTGACTGTAAAGATCTATGTCAGAAACTGCTGCGCCGTAATCCAGGTAAATATTTGTGTGAATAAACCCCCGGTTCTGTTAGCATAAGCAGGCCCATCAAATTCTAAAGAAATAACAAATATATAGAATTGGCAATTCAGAGTATTTCCAACATTTGTCTTGTTCACGGCTTTTGTTTTGTTAAAGTTATAACTAAAACTTGAAATCATCAGTGCTTCATTTTTTCCTCCCATGCATGCAAGTTGGGGGTTGTTAAAAACTCAGGGTATTGATTTGCACTGATTTGAAACGGAAGCTTACAATTAATGTCCCTTCATCTCTTAACTGTATGTGCTTGTTACACTTAGGAGTTTTGATTGTCCTTATCTATTTGTATATAACGTTTATTTTTTGGAATTTTTCTGTTTCACAGTGGAACGTTTGACCTTTGAAGAGTTCTTTCATCACCCTTTTCTTTCAGACAGACACTCATATGATTTGCCAAGGTTGATGCAGGGATAAACTATTTTCTTCTATCATTTGTGGTTAAAACTGTTGTACTGATAATGATTTTATGTTGCAGGAGTAGATTAGGTTCAAGAACGATGGATGGTATTAATTCATCCGGAAGCAGTCCCTCTAGAAACATGGAAGAAATTTCTCAAGAGGACTGTTTACCGTTCTTTTTAGATGATGATTCTAGTGGACCAGAGGGAAGCCCTTCATATATAAAACATACCTCCCCGATGAAGTCATCTTATGGATTTAGTGTTGAGACCAGAGCTGAGAGAAGGGAGGCAGCATCTAGTCATTTGAAAAACATGGAGCTTACTTCCAGATATAGTAGAGTTAGTCATAGAGCAGAAACTAATAACTTCAAACTTGAAAGCCATAGATTATCAGATAGAAACCAATGCAAACCGTCAAGCTTGCCTGATTCCAGATCACTTCGTACTCAAGGAAGAGGTAATTGAAATTCTATCATTTTCTTTTTTTTTTTGTTTTTATTGGAAAAGTTGTCTAACATTCATCGGTTCCACAATAGGGGATTTGCCAGACTCAATGGATCAAGATTATGTTCTGATATCTGGACCACCAGTGGATATACCATCATCGTCATCTGGTTCTCCGAAGCCTTTCAATTACCCATTCAAATCACATTCTCCTCCTGTAGAGATTATTAAAAGAAATGTAACTACTTCAACGGCTCCCATGCCAATAACTGGTGCCACTGGCAGAAACATTGGTCGGCTTGAAAGCTTGGAGAGTCAGGATTCTCTCCCGGGTACTTCCCATGGCTCTCTGGACCTTGTGGATGCTTTTGAACAGCCGTCAACTCACAGCTTGACAAGAATCCGGTCTTTGCAAAAGTGTGCAGCAACGATAGCAGAATTAGTTCGTGAAAGGGTAAGCAACTCCAAATAATCATATAAAATTCCGGACAAAACCTTGCCAACGTGGGTTTCTGAGCCTTTGTATTTCATGGTTCTCTTTCATAGATTGAATCAGGTAAACAGTTAGAAGCTTTCTCGATCCAACTGGTGGTTCTTGCAATCTGGAATCAAGCACTGCACATCTGTCATACTCAGGCAGTCTCGTGTGTTGAAGGAAACCTGCGCCAAGACATTAACAGAGTAAGAAGAAATATCAGCTATGAAGGACCAGAGAAGATATTGTCTCAGATTCAGAGAGAGTTTGTCCAAGAGGTTGAGCGTGCTGAAGAACTTGCCAAGTTTGTTGAACCAGGTATGCGTTTTCTTGGAGTTACAAAACTGCTGAGACAAATCTCTTGTTTCTTTTATTTGTCGGTTAATCATAATTGTTTAAGTAACAGAACATGATTATAGGTAATACAAAGATGCCGGATGCAATGGAGATAATATTCCAAGCAGCTCTTACTCTCGGCATACGTGGAGGGGTAAGTTTCTATTGCCCTGATGATCAAATCCTAAACTGAATAAAACCATCTGGTTATTATTATTTTTTGGAAATTTCGGGTTTGTGAAATTGATACTTGAGAGTTGAGAATTTGAATTTTTGCAGGTAGATGAGGTCGTGATGGGAGAGGCGGAGAACGCAGGAAACCACTACTCAAAAGCGGTACGTTTACTAGTCTTCCTTGTAGTGGAGGCGCAAACGCTGATTCTAAATCCGCCTTTGACGCTCACAAACTCAGTAAGATATCGAATCAGAGCATATATTGATGCCCTCAAAAGCAGATTAAAACATCTACAATCACATACAAGAACTTCAGGTCCTCGAAAACCATGAGAGGAGGAACAAAGGAATCCCATCTGTTTCTGTTGTTTGTTTTGTTCAGTATCTGTAAAAGTAACCATTTGTTTGTACAGCCAAACAGAAAAAGACCATATTCTTAATTCTTTTGGGTATTAAATCCAAAGGGACTTGTAGCATTCTCTTTGTTGTGACGTGAATCCGTGATTAATGAAAATACACGTTATGCATACTGTATATGGCTTCAAACGAAACACCCTAGAATTTATATATCCGTGAATTCTATTCTCCAAACATTTAAAATTGTTACTCAACAAAGCAGGCTCGTAGAATCTATCATCATGCTACGTACAAAGCAACATAAAATAAAACTGAGCAGAAACCAAAACTTTCTGAAGATACAGATTTCAAGAATCCATAAATGAAGAAAAAGAAGAGAGATACAAAGCGCATAGAGCTTGGATCAATGGAAGAGCCCTAGAACAAGGCAAAACTGTTATCTCGAGAGATGCTAATAGAGAAGGAACAAATTGTAAATCTTAACACCTACGACTGTAACTACTATACACTGGAAGATTTAAAAAAAAAAAAACCTGCTACTAAAAGATTGTTTGTTTCTTCTTCTCCAAACTCTATAAAGCTTACACTAAAGTATATAAGACTCTATTAATTGGGGACAGACGATAAGAGTTTCTTCAATCTCTCATACGCCATGAAGGCAATGCCTACACCAGGAGCTACTTTATAGTATTCTGGTAAGATTCCTCTGTATAGCCCTCTCATGCCTTCTGACTTAAATATATGTTTGAATGTTCCAAAGAGTCCTGTTTTATACACTCGCTCTCGCCCACCAGCTCCTTCCAACTGCATTCTTCTTCTCACCAGGTCCAACGGGAATGTCACTACAAAATTTATATTGGTATACTAAAACAAACTTTCACGTAATGAATACACAATGACCCATATTTTATTCTTAACAAACCTGTCGAGGAAGCAATTCCGGAGAGACTTCCACAACTAAGACTAACCATAACTTGTGAATCACTAGGCCTGAAAAAGGTTTGAAGGAGAGAATATTACGATAGTATGAGTTAAGACTCTTATTGGACGAACAAACTCACTAGGCAATACTGAAAGTCAAATCCCAAAACAAAGAGGCCCTTTACCTTTGAGATAGCCATAATGTTTTCAGAGAGTCATATGCTGAGAAGCTGATTGCAAGGCTTGGACCAACACCCTGCAATACAAAAGACGTACAAAACACAAACACATCAAATAATTATATCCGTAGATGTATAGGCTAAATGGCTACCTAACACTGGCAAGGAGTGAACAATCACACACAAATCATTCAGAAGAACAAGAGGAAGCGAATAAAGCGTACCAACAATGTAGCACCAAGTCCTTTATACAGACCCCAAAATCCCTCTTCTCTGCAAATGGTACGGAAGGCATGCCCAACCCCCTGATAATAGATTGAACTTCTCTGGAAGAGATCAAAAACAATGAATTCAGGCCAAGGGAAGACAAGGAACACTGCTTAGGTAATAAAATAGAGATAACAACAATTACCTGTGCAGAAAGCCGTGTCCTCACAAGATCGAGAGGGTAAGTAGCTGAAGCAGCTGTCATTCCAGCCAACCCACCACTTACAAAGTGCACTAAAACATCCAAACTTGCAGTTCCTTTATACCTCTGCAAGACTGAATTTGAGTACAAAAGCTGCAAACGGGGGAAAAAAAAAAGCAAGGCAAGTCTGAGTAACAGATCAGCATAAACTATCTAAAAGAGACTTGAATGCAACTCACAGTATTGTATTCTTCATATGCGTAAAAGTTAACTGCAGAATAAGGAAGCCGGTGAGCTACAGTAACCAGGTTTCCTTTCCAAAAAGCTCTAAAACCTTCCTCGTTGATAATACGGGAAGCTTCACGCCAAATGCTTGGACTACTCAGAATTGCAGCTTCCGATTGCATACCTTGTATCTGAGTAAGAAATAACAATTTGTCATCCTCACCGCTCACGCATTATTCATGTCTGTGGGTATAATAATAAAGTCTTCAAATTCGGCTACAAGTTAAAAGTCATAGCTTTATAAATCAAAATCTCCTTCTTACAATCCGTTAGCTCCAAAATTCCAAGATTTCACAATTGAACGGAAAACTTGATGATCCGAGAAAAAAAAGAGAAGAGACCTGGAACAAGATGGTGAGACGAGCGAGAGGAGCGGTGCAAGTCTTACTGAATGCGCCGGAAATTCCGCCGGCGACGAGATGCGCAATGGAGCCGCCCTGCTTCTGATTCAGCGACTGTTTATTGCTTTGTTGGTGTTGATGGCAGCTTTGAGGCTGCGTCTGCGGTTGTTGCTGTAAAAGTTTCCTGTTTCCGGCGTCTACGACGCTGTTATGCACGGCGGACGCGGTGGCCGTGTTAAGAGCCCTCTGTCCACCTTCCACCACCACACCGACTCGAGCTTCCATAGTCATTTTTTCCGATATTAGTTTGTGGGTGGGTCGGCGGAAATCGAAGCCGCCGAGTTCGCATCAATTAGTAGCGAAACGGATTTTTGAATTTTGCGATTGAGATTTTGGAGAAATCAACGTGAAGGAAAACCCTAGAGAAACCTCTTAAACCTGTGTTCGATGATGAAGAAAGGGTTTATTGGGTAAAAAAGGAAGGAGTGACGCACACACACATGTGTATTTTCCATTGTAAGTTACGAGAATAGATCATTTAAACCGGCGCCGTATTCCGTATACCGGAAATTCGGATCGTAAGTTTTTTGGTCAGACTTTTTGAGTTATGTTGTTACTGTCTTTTTTTTTACAGTATACCGGAAATGCGGATCGTTAGTAAATTTCTCTTCTGGTCGAATATTTGAACAGTAAAAAAGAGTGGTCCGACTTTGACTGAACAGTGAGTAGCTAAAAGCCTAACTAGAGAGGCTTTGGTTTAGAGAATTTATGCATCAGTAATTTGCATTCACATCTCGAAAAAACTTGAATGCTAAGAAGTAGCTGAATTCTCAGTCGATTTTTTAGTACTAGTAACAAATTATAGTTTCTAGTGGGCTAGATTGTGCGTGTTTGTGAATAAATCTCAATGTTAAAAGCTTTAAAAAAAAAAAAAAGGATCGACATTTGAGTATTAAGCCATAACTTTCTTGAGATTAGTAGGATTGACGTATCAATGTCCAAGTCTTTTAGGGAAATAACTTCGAACAGGTTCAATTTTTAGGTGACAACTCATGGATAAAACTCTAGAATAATTATAAAATGGATGATACTTTTTGAAATCACTAGCTGCAGACAGCACAACCCAAAAGCTTATCAACTAATCTAAATTAACGAATTAATATATTAGTTTATCAACTAATCATGTAAAAGACGTATCATTTCTTTCTGTTGTCCAAGTAGAAGAAGCATCAAGATGACCAAAGATATGGTCAGTTAGAAAAAGGAGACGCATGGGGGGAAAGATAAGAAAAAGAATACGTTAACCAATAGGACTAATCATTTTGTGAACGGCTGTGAATTGGTATTGAGTTGTATAGAGAACGTTCCAACTTATAAAAAATTGGATATCGCAATTATTTTATTAAACAAAGTTTTAGAGCTGAGTTGAAGGAACTAACTACTTTGTATCTAATTTTTATTTGTCAATCGGAGTATTTCTTTTTTTTCCATTAGGATTTTGGACTGGAAAAAACATGAGCACTATTTGAATATCAGTATTTTAGTTTTCACTTTTAACACTATAAATTAATTTAGTAAATTATCAAATTTTTTAGTTTTCTCCTCTTAGTGGATTAAGTTTTAAGCCATGTTAAATAACAATGTATATTGATCTGATGATTAGTGAGAGCTATTCAGAGTAAAAATGTAAAGCACAAAAATAGGCATGCATATTTTGAGATATCTATTAGGTGAATACAAATTATTTTATCTACTAAAAAGTAAAAGGTAGGAAACTTGCTAGTTAATCAATTGTCAAATACGTTTACTATCTGTAGTTCCGAGACCAAATCAATTTTTCCGTTTTGATGCATCTAAAATGTTGTTTAGATCAGTTTTTTTGCATTTAGTTTATGCTGATTAGAAACAGCAAGAGATTACTAGCAATATAAATATATAATACAGACATTTGAAGTTATCAACTAGATTATGAACTTTGAAGGAATTCCAAAGAATAATTCGAGGGGAAAATGAGATTCTCTTTATTATTATTTTTTTTTTAATAAAACTTTTCGCAGATGGAACCCATGCAGAGTCTCCAGTTATCTGATCGTCGAATCAAAAATCATCTTCCCTAAATCAACGGCTGTGATCAATTTACAAAATGTACACCTTTTCCCCACTTAATCCTCTTTAAAAAATGTCAGTGAAGCAAAAAGCTTCCAAGCTTAGCCGACAAAAAATGGCACAACTGGTTCATTTGTACTCTCCAGGGATCGTAGTCATACTTCTACCAGTTCTTCTCTTGTCGATCGCACGTGCCGATTTACCAGGCACGTGGGAGCTCATCGTACAAGACGCCGGTATAGCCTCTATGCACACGGCGGTAACCCGGTTCAACACGGTGGTCCTTCTAGATCGGACGAATATCGGACCGTCGAGGAAAGCTCTTGGTCAGCACCGGTGCCGAAAAGACCCAAAGGACGCCGTTTTGAAACGTGATTGCTATGCTCACTCGGTTCTATTCGACCTCGGTACAAATCAGATCCGACCACTGATGATACAAACCGATACGTGGTGCTCTTCGGGTCAATTTTTATCCGACGGTTCTTTGCTTCAAACGGGTGGGGATAGGGACGGGTTTAAAAAGATTCGGAGATTCGAACCGTGCGATCCGAACGAGAAATGCGATTGGGTGGAGCTCCAAGATACCGAATTGAGAACCGGACGCTGGTACGCTACAAACCAGATATTACCGGATGGTTCGGTTATCATCGTCGGTGGGAGAGGAACCAATACGGTTGAGTATTACCCACCTCGCGAAAACGGTGCCGTTCCGTTTCCTTTCCTTGCTGACGTGGAAGACAAACAGATGGACAATCTCTACCCTTACGTCCATCTTCTCCCCGACGGAAATCTCTTCGTCTTCGCCAACAGTCGCGCCGTCAAATACGATCACCGGATAAACGCCGTCGTCAAGGAGTATCCACCGTTAGACGGCGGTCCAAGGGAATTATCCATCCGGTGGATCATCGGCGATGCTAGCCATCCAAGGAGATTTCGTCACGGCGGAGATACTAATCTG